GTTTTGACCAATGTATTATTCGCGATGGTGATATTACCTCTGTTACTGATTTAACGATGGAACCCTGGCTCTGAAGCGACACAACATGATTCCAGTTGGCAGTTATCTGATCTTCCTTTAAATGTTTTAACGAATGAGTTGTTGTGTCTGTATCTGATAATAAATTGTCCACCATTTTGTAGTCTATTGATGTTTCCCGCCAGAGACAGCGAATTTCTGAGTTTCGGTTCGTTTTGAAGTAATTGCGGAGTTTTAATCTCATTTTTAACGCAGTATCCCTGAGTGAAACAATATTATGACCTGCTGTCTTCAATGGTAGCCCTAGAACCTCTGATACACAACCGCTAATTGGCATCGTTAGCCAATCTCTAACTGCCTCTGTCACCATGTTGTCCAAGTTATTTTTTATCCACGTCAGTGAAAGATTATAGCTTCTCAATTCAAATTTTAATTGTGACGGGATAAATCTTCTTAAGACCTGGAGTTTCATTTGAGTGGAAACCTTTAGATCCGTTGTCCTCTTTAACAGTCTTGTTAATTTGGAAACCATTTCTTCTTTGGCCTTTGTGTCCTTTAGTTCCGCATCGTATATTTTACCCAGGTATTTGAATCCAGAGCCCAATTCAACGGGTGGAATGGGAATGTTGTCTATTGTCAACCTGGGCAAAAATTGGTCATATGAGCCATCTTTTTTCATCATACCGAACACACAACATTTGTCCACTCGCATCTGCATGTCTGACCATCGGCACCAAGCTAGATTCAGATCAATTAGCTTTTGAGCGCTTTCCGAATTATGTGCTATTATCGCTGTATCATCTGCAAACTGCAGCCGTGGTCTAGCCCTCACATCTGACGTTGGTCCCCACAGGTAGCCGCATTGTTTAAATTCATCACCCTCCAAGATTTTCATCAACGGGTTAAAGTAAAGGTTAAACAACAACGGCGAACATGGATCACCCTGTAGCACTCCTTTTCTCACTGGCAACAACGGTGTGAGTTGATCATTAATTGATACTGATATTGCATAGCTCGAGTATAATAATAATAATAATAATAATAATAATAATAAGAAGAAGAAGAAGAAGAAGAAGAATATAAAACGTCATTGGTTAGTTTACAATAGCCAAAAACCGGAATTCTGGATTGAGTGTAGTCGCGACTAATTGGCCGGAATCAAATGTTCACGTGTGGTGGGATTAACTGCACATCTTCAAATTGTTAAATACAGGGGTGGGCAAACTTTTTACTGTGAGGGCCGCATTGAGAGCTATTTTACCTTTGGAGGGCCGCATTATATACTTAAATAGCAAATTTTTCGACCCGTGGAAGAATTTTTTTAAGATTTGTGGCTCCTCTTTTTGGTCATAATGTCTGGTTGACGACTATTTTTTGGCGAACAGGGACTCGCAGGCCGCATAAAATATTTTTGCGGGCCACGCGGGCCGTAGTTTGCCCAATCCTGGTTTAATACATACTTCATATGATAGCAATGCTAAAATTTTGATGTTCATTCTGACAAAAATTGTCCACTGCAGATTTGTGAGTTATCTGAAAAACAAAAGCTGCTTCACCGTGTACAACAAAAATCCGGTTGGAATGCTGTCGGTGTGAATTTTAATTTGGCACTCTCGTTTAATTTCAACTCCTGCAAATTTCGTTCAGAACTCAGTAAACTTAAATTTTTTGAAACATTTCCATAATGAGAATCAGAAATTCGGTTGTTTTGAAAAAATTTTAGTGCGCTCTTTACAATCGGATGATGTGGAATGGCAGCGTTATTTATTCTTTTCACCAGAAAATGCAAATTCAAGATTTTGTACTCGGCCAAATGACATTAATATGTATTAGCAATGGTTTAAAATGTTATATGAATTACCTTGCACTCCGACAGTAAAAAAGGCATATTCTGAATATTCCGTTTTGAAGTTCATGCAGAAGATATAAAAATATCTCGGGCTGAATTTTCGAGAAAATATCTAAAATGTCTCCATGTTCATTTTTACAATTCATTATGAGTTGTTTCATTATTTATTGCAATTTCAAAGTTGAAAGTTTCGACCAAAGAGTATACCACATAGCCAGCAACAGCAACGTTGATGTTATTGATGTGAGACACAACTTCAGCACGTTTCCCAGCAAGAGTGATTTAAGGACTGGTGTTCTTTCTCGTAACGCCTGCTCAATCCTCTGCAGTCTGAATACATTATTTGCTTGTAAAGGATTCGAATACAGCAAAGAAACGAAAGAATGCAAGTTGGTTTCTGGATTTTTGTCGGGTGTTTCAACCGGGGACAATCTTACCCGTTATCGGCTGAAGGAAGGTTGACTAGTGATTTTTACATTAGCATGTTTTTAAAATGTTCAGATGAATTCTAGCAAATCATAATTTTGTTGACTATTAAATAGACAAAAAAAAACTAATTTATTTTTTATGACCAGTTTGTCCTCAAGGCACGACCTACGCATCTTCAATAAAATCATGCCTCATTTTGAAGACAACAAAAATGACTTGGTCAGATGCCAGAGATGCGTGCAACGGAATGCAACTGAATTTCCATCCCATAACACTTGATACTCCAGAGGCAAATCTGGCACTGAGAACTCTTTTGATTTCTCTTCCTTGTTAGTTTATGTAGAAAATTCCTGAAAATTAAAAAATTTTTTTTTTGTAAATCTAGTAATTTTTTAAATACATTGAAAATAAATTAATAAAAAATTCGATAAAGATAATGAATACTGATGTTGCTGTGTTAATTAATTTATAAATCAAAATGAATTCATCAGCAACAACAACTTCTGGTTGTCAAAATTGGGCCGACTGGACTGTGTGGACCTCTGGCAGAACATTACTCAGTAGCAGACCCAATTTTTTTTGGCAACCTTACAAAGATGGGACCATCTTTTCGATTGTTGGATATAAGAACTGGTCTTCTGGTCAACCAGATTTTCTTTATTACACAGGCTATGGTAAGCTTGATGATTTTTTTAGTTGAATACTTTTTGAGTTTTAGTGCTATTAGTTAGAGACCATTTTATGTTGGGCTACTGCTTAATGAAAAAATGAGTGTGTCAAATTTCAGATCACTGGCTTACTCTTATTCAAAAATGTCTTTGCATCATTTTAGAACAATAGGTAGATTAATAAGCATTCTAATTTGCTTAACAGAATTGTTTCTATACTAGGGGTAGGCAAACTGCGAAAAGACGTTATGACCAAAAAAAGGAGCAACAAATCTTAAAAAATTCTCCTGGGTTAAAATGTACTATTTAAGTACATATGCGGCCCTTCAAAGGTAAAATAGTTCTCAAAGCGGCCCTCACAGCAGAAAGAAGTTAATTGCTCTATACTAACAATTTTGGATTAGCTATTTAAAATTATAATTCGAAGAAAATTGTTTACGATGAATATTATTTATTTTTAATCCCTTCAATCAAGGCTGTTTACATCCCTTCTTGGACACATTTGAGTGGGATGATGTTAGTTGCGACTGCATGTGGTGTGTCGTCTGTCAACTCGATCTTTATTGAAAACAACTATTGGTTCCTACTGGTCAAACTGAGCAATTCCGATACAAAAAGTTTATTGCGTGATATAAAACTCTTTCTTAGTAAATAAATATTAACTTATTTCTGATAAATCAGTTTTTTTATTAAACAATATTTCTAATCAAATATATTTTTTCATTAAATTAACAATTAGTCCGAAAATTTTATTTTATCTTTTAATAAAAAATATTCTTATAAAAAGGATTTTTAATCTTTTCTTTCTTATATTCAAATGATTTTTTCAAATATAAATTATATTCTTTCTACTTAATCATGATGTTTTTGTAGAAATTAAATCTTTTGTTGAAGTTGTCCTTTGAATTTGTATATTTGCTTAGAAAATATAATTTCATTTAAACTTTTGTTTCACATTTTTTTGCTTTCAAGTTGTAAATTTAAACACAAATGTTCAAGCTGGCACCTGGGGTCGAGCTATTTGACTTGCTTGGATTGTTGGCTTATTGTCTTACTTAAGAAATTGCATGGGTTTTAACGAACAATGAAATATTTACTTGAACTAAATCTGTCTAAAACAATGTAGTAATTCTATATAATTTTATTAAATAGAATTATGTATTATTAAATTATTTTTGTTAATTTGAATATAAAAATTGCTTTTTGCTCGGTGAAAAACAGTGGCTTACTAGGATTGAACTATAGTCACTCTTTTTGCATATATACAGTACTATGAGATACTGTTTAATATTGTACTATCAATTAACTAGCCAGTCAATCAATCAATTAACCAATCAATCAATCAGTTAATCAATCAATCAACCAAACAAACAACCAACAAATTCAAATGTTCAGCCATCCACCCATCTAACCAAACATTTATCAAACAATCAATCAAGCAACCAAACATCCAACCAACTGTTCAATAATCATTCATTCAATTTACTAATCAATCAGCCAATCGACTAATTAATTAATCCATCAACTAGCCAATAAATCAAATTGAATGAACCAAATGAATTAAATAAAAAATGTGAATTTTTTAAAAAGATTTCGTGGTATTGGTTGCTATTCATTTAGCTAATAAATTAATTTAATTAATTAATGGACTGTAATTTAAAAAAACCTATTATTTATATATTCAAAAGCTTTTATTCATATATTCATTTGTTTACGATGTTAAAGTGGTCCAAAATTGTCATACAAAGGATAAATGAAATTATAACTACAACTTTTACTGGTCCATAAAATCATGACTTTGATATTAAACCAGCTTAGCTTGCTTTGCAAGTTTTACAGTCTTTGCTTATTGTAATGTGTGAAGCTAGAGTATCTAACTCATTGTGAAAAATTTTTCAATAGAATTCCACAACTGAATCAATATTTCATTATCTACAGAACGTATTATTTACGGTAAGCATTTAAATTTTTTATTTACGAATACGAATCTAACTTTATTCTTAACTATTTATTTATTATTAACCAACTTTATTCACTACATTAGCGTCACATTCCATCTACAATTTTGCTAGTGTGTATTCAGTAATATATAATAATGGTAAATGGCAACAATTAAGTCCTTTCAAAGTGCTACATATCAAAAGCTTCGAGATTTCCATTAGCAGTTTTGTATTCGTAAGAATGAGTGCTACACAAATCTAGTATCAAAACCCCAGCCTATTTCTTTACATTCAGCTTTCAAGTGTCCAAAGAAACTTATTCGTCTTGCAATTGTGATTCAGGAAGTATACAAAATAATACAAAAATTCCTTTTTAGACAACTGACACCAATTGATTTTAAATTAGTTTTATCGTTGACATAATTATTATTAAATTAATGTAGTAGTATTAATATTTCAGTTTAAGTCGCAACAACACACTGTTCATACATTTTCAAATACAAAAGCGTACAGAGACAGGAATGGCCATTTTAACAATAGCTTAACGTTTGTTGCCGTATATATGAATATCGGCTATTTTTAAATAATTTGAAATTAAATGTTAAAATTAAATTAAATTATTAATTTCAAACCAATGGCGGCCAATTTCAAAATCTAATTGCTACAATCATTTTGGACTTCTTTTTAAACCAGTTAAAACCTAATAAACTATATATGGACGTTTAATTATATATTATTATAGTTATATATAATATTATAGTTAAATATAGTTTTAAATTTAAGATGATAAGATAAATTTTTTAGACAAAGTGTATATAATTGTGTTTCTAACTATACCACTTTAACCTTAACCGTAATATTCCGTATTTTAAAATGTTTGTTTGGAATATAATTGTATTAAAACTGCAATTCGAATCCAAATTTGTGAAAAGAGATTCAGATAAAACGTAAACTAATTAAAAAAAATTAACTTTGAAGTTTTATTCAAGAATTGGAAAAATTAAAATTTTGTAAATCGTTGTAGTCGTCATCTTCACTCGTAGATCCAAATCTAAAACGTTTTTGATGTCCACTGATGTCCTCATTATTTTCCTCCTTGTTGTTATTTCGTAGAACTCTGATTAAGAATTTTTTTGAGAAACTCATTGCATTTCCTCACAACGTCTTCATCATCATCATCAGTGGAATCATCAAAAAGTTTTTGTCCTCTTTTGAATCTGTATTTTTTTTCTCTACCATCTTCAACATCATTAAAATCCTTGTCGTCTCCTTCATCATCAACCTGAAAATCACCATCAGTTGCTGGACAAACAGCTTGCAGACTTTCCAAACTGTCCAGCTCATTAATTCCTTTTTGATGTCATTGATTGACCAGTTTAGATCGGAACTGTTGAAAACGATATTGTTTATCTCGTTCTCATACGATAGGTACAAGAACTTGCGCTGTTTGTGAGACGGGGAGTTATTTTTGTTGTCATCATCCACCATCAGCTCTTCCGCTTGTAAATCATTCCCAGATGTTTCCGGGATGCAGTTAATGGAGATGTTTGGTTTTTCATTGAGACAGTCTAAATTGAAATGATCGTCTTCTAATATTGGGAAGTCGAAATACGAAAGCCTTCTCGGGTTTTGCTCGCACGTCTGTTTGGTCAAAATTTTTTAATGGTCATTATAAAATTAACAATTTTAAGCAATAGTAGTTAAAACTTAAAATATTCACTAACGACAACAATGATAAATTTATAAAAAGTTATTGGGTCGAATTGAAAGTGAAATAATACTGACCGTGACCATATCTTCAAGAGATAAACAGGGTATGTCCCATTCAGCATTCAAGTGTCCAATAAAACTTATTCGTCTTGCCATTGTGATTCAAGAAGTATACAAAAAAATACATAAATATCCTTTTTAGACAACTGATACTAATTGATTCAAAAACTGTATGTACACAAACAAAATTACACTTCTGAAAGAACTATTACTAATTATTACAAATTGCTTCAAATTTTTAGATACAATTTAAGATAGCTAAGAAGATATTTAGATTTGGAGATTTGGCAAGCTAGATTTCGAGATCAACTTATATAGGAAATCAGCCAGGATTTTCACGACATCTTTGTCTACAATGGTTAGGTATTCGTTAATAAAATGTCAGTAATTTTTTGGTTGTATTTAGTGATGGTTGTACAAAAAGTTTTAAATGACTTTGAAACAATCACTTTGATAAGTCATTTGAATTACAAGATTGTAAATAGATATTGTAAAATTAAAAATGTAAATTGTTACTAAATTATTTTACTTATCATTTTGTTATCAACGAGAGAAACTTGTAAATTAGACTAAATTGGGTTCGGACCGTCAGTTTGTCTGCCGTGCGTTGAGAGAATGCAAAATTTTTGTTTGTCATTGCTGTGTTGCTGATGTTGTCGTTGTTGTTAACGCTTTAGTTTAGTTGCTGGTTTTGTTTGGTTGTGTTTGGTTCTAGTTTGTTCTTTGGCTTTTTATACCTTCATACCGGCTAATTCACTAACAGGCCGATTTATCAATCAGGTTTCAGACAATACCACTCAACTGAAACGGCTCTATTAAAGGTTCTGTCTGATGTCTATGGGGCTACAGAATATGTCTATGATGGTGTTCCCCGAAACGTCATCCGCATTTGATTGTGTGAATCACAAAATACTTTTAGAGAGATTGTGTGTTACTTTTGGATTTTCTGGTGCTGTGTTAACATAACTACTAAATAACTACTGTTAACATGACGTCATTTACCCATCCTATTTTAAAAGTTTTATTTGATGTTTTTTAATCAGTCAGGTCACAATCATCATCATCGATATCGCAATGAAATAAAAATTAAAATTTTTAAAAAATGTATCTTTATTCATTTTATGATACTAATTTGTTCAATAAGATACTGTTTGATAATGTACTATCAATTAACCAGTCAATCAAAAAATGAATTAATTAATTAATAGTGTGTAGATTAATAAATTGGAAAAAAAAATTTTGCTTGAGCCACTACAAATTAATTGCTTTAGTTATCAAAACATCAGCTTAAAATATTTTTCAACTACAACTTTTCCAACATATCCGCTTAATGATATCAAATCAAACAAGCCCAAAAGCAATTCATTCAACTAACATTACGTGTGCGACGGTAAATTGATGAACTTATGGCAAGAATCAATTGAAACCATGGCGGTTAATTGCTAAAATCGAGCATGTTGTGCGGTGGAAATTCGTTTTGCTGAAAACATGCTAAATGTCATTTATCATATTTTCTACTCTTCCGAACAAAAGAATTGAAATTAAAATTTAAGAAAAAAAAACCTTCATAAATATTATGCTTATTTAGACCCCAAACATCACAAATTTCCCCGTAAAATTTGAATGAAACATTGAACAAGTCTGGAGATGTGATTTGACTACAAACAACAATTTATCTGAGCTATAAAAATTCTAACCAGTCCTTCTGAAAATACCTTTCCAGGCATGATAATTGCTGATCGAATGCAATGCATTTACTTGCTTTTAGTGAATCGAATAGTGCTCTGTTGTTTAATTTGTATATAAACATATGTAAAAGCTGGCATAAAAATAACAATCCGTATGCTTGTTTTTTGGAAAAAACTACCGTTTCAATAAATTACATTAAAACAACCTCAGATCAAATTTTCCCTGCGGCTTTGAAATTAACTTGGAACTTGACCAAATTTGAGAGTATATTTTATTACAACTTATTAATCTAGTTTTTTTAATTTAAGAAACAATATCCAACTAGAATAATAAAATGTTTTAATAATAAAATGTATGTGCAATTTTTGTAGAATGGATTCAAAACCAGTTGGGCTAATTAAATGAGTTCTCGATATGAAAATAAACTATTAATAAAATTTATGATCGTTTATAGAAACAGATTTACATTTAAAAAGTTAAACCAAAGAACAATTGAAAAACGTCAAATCATCAAATGTACTTAAAAATGTTTCAAAAATTGAAAGCCGAACTTTTGAAATATAGCGAAAACACGACAGTAAGAGGAATTCCAAAGTTCATAAAATCCCAAGAAATATTCCCGAAAGTGCTTTGGTTGAGTTTCTTCCTATCGTCAACTGCCGCTCTGATATACATGCTGAGAAACCTATTCACCGATTATTATTCCTACCCAATAGCAACGGTAACTGGAGAGAAAGTAAGAATTTTGTAAAAGTTTGTAAGAATTGCAACAATGCATCCTGTTGTAATATTTAACGTTTTTCTGTGTTATTTTAGAGTTTTACCCTATTTCATGAAGTAAACTAATTTATTGCATATGAAGAATTAGGTTTATATTTCACTTATTCAAATGCAAATAATACAAATAGTGGGTTTAAAAACTTTTGAAGTTAAATGAATGTGAAAATATTTTTCATGTTCAACAAGTTTCTGATTTATTAAAAAAATGATCTACGTTCTGAATCAGCTGCTGCATATAATTACTAAAAAATTTTAATTTCTTTCTTTTAAAGACTGGCCAAAGCATAACGTTTCCAGACATCACGATATGCAACTTGAATCCATTTAGTGAGGGAGAGCCTGAAGAATTATCCATTGAGAACTATTTGAAGCTTGTGGCAAAATATAAAAAAAAGTGGCTTAATTTATCAAACTTGACAAATACGTCGGTTGATGATGATTCCGATGATTACAGCCATATCGTAAATTACAAACAAGTTATAAAAGAAATCACTGATGAACTTTCAACTGTTTCAGGTTATTTGATAAATTTGAGTAAAATTCTACCAAAACCCGAAGACTGTCCAAGTTTAGTCGTTGACTGCAATGTTTTTGGCACTGATTGGTTTGAAACTAAAGACTTGTGCACGAATAAAAATTTCACCAGAAATTGGAACGCTAATTATCGAACTTGTTACACTTTGCAAATGAGTGAATTAAAAATATCTGGCAATTATTATATTAGAGGATTGAGCTTGCTGCTGAATGTTGGTCCACCAAACTTTATCAAATTGCCCTACAAGGCTTCGCTGACCAATTCCCAAGCAAGAGGAGTTCAGGTGAGTGTGCACAGTCCTGGGACTCCTGCTGACCTCAAGCGTGGATTCAGTGTGGCTCCTGGAACTGAAAATATCGTCGAAGTTACTCAAACAGACAGGAAACTTACAGACAAACCTCACAATAAGTTTGTAAAATTTTAAAGCACATGAGTCTGTCAAAAAACAGTTTACAAACTATAAAACCTCTTTGATTGCAAGTAATATTGAACAATAATTTCAACTTTCAGACTAGGATGTACCATAGAAAAAACACTAACAGGCTACAGTTCTAAAAATTATGCTCGTGAATTGTGTGTAGAATATTGTGAACAGAACATAATTAAAAAATTTTTCAGATGTGTCTCACGTTTTTTAAGTGTGCCGGAGAAATTTTTTGACACCGTTATGTGTGGAAATTTGAGCCATTACTCTAAACTGAACGAATCAACAACAGATGACATAGATTCTGAATATTTAGCAACATTAAACTTTATTCTTTCTCAGTTTTTTACGAAAATAAAAAAACACGGTGAGTATTTGTTTATTTTTTTCACGGATTTCCTAAACATTTTTGATAACTTTTGTAGGATATGAATATTCCGGTGATGAATGCAGACTGAAATGCTTACTACCATGCGAAGAAACAATATACAGCACGAAAGTAACATCAGCAACCTGGCCACAACCCTCCTTTGAACTAGATTTATTTCAGAAATATTTCATCGACGACAACGATTGCATGAATAACCCAAAGGTGAAGTCCAGATACATCAATTATTACAATAGGCACATGGACGAGCGTGAAGACCACAATTCTTTCTCAAACTTGACACAGATAAGGGAATCTCTTCTTGAAATCAAATTCGTCATGCCACAGAATTCTCCACATTTCCAAACAGATAAACCGGTGTACACGGCGGATATGATGATTGGATCGGTGGGAGGGATTCTGTCCCTTTGGATGGGGATAACGGTGGCAAGTGCAGTGGAAATCATGGAGCTGCTCTATTTCCTTCTCAAATGTATCTTTGAACAAAAGCTTAATAAAGCTGCGAAAGAGACTGAGTTGAACTGAACATCAAGTGATGAAACGTATCATCTAAACTAATTATAATCAAAGTTTTTTTGATTAATTATCTTGAATCCATCCTTCGGAGACATTTTTGTGTGTAATTCACATTATAATACAACTTTCATCCAGTTTTTTTTATACGTGTAGATCTTTTCTTTTATTGTGCATATCATAACGTATGCGTGTGTGTGTGTGTGTGCGTGTGTGTGTGCGTGTGTGTGTGTGTGTGTGTGGTGTGGTGTGAGTGTGTGTGGTGTGTGCAATGCTTTCTGTGTGTGGTGTGTGCAATGCTTTCTACATATATATATATATATATATATATATATATATATATATATATATATATATTAGGAAGAAGAGCAAGTTCTATACAGTTGTTCAAAAAATCCACCGACGATTCAGCATTAACAAGTTTTATGGTTGATTTTCTAATATTTTGAACTAGTTCTTTACAATTAAGTCTATTCAAAATGTTGAAATCCATTTTATAATCGTTTATGATTTTAATTGTTAAAATTAATCAAGCAAGATCCCATTTTTATAATCGTTTATTTTTTATATTATTATTAAAATTATGCATATAGATCTATTTCGACGTAAAGTCATCATCAGTGCAATATATTTTAAATAAATTCTATTAATAGTTAATTAGTTGTATTTTTTAATATATTAAAATAAAATAAAAGTAACGAAATAAAAACGCAAAGGTTCATTGAAATTAGTAAACAAAATATTTGAAATTATACGATTGTTCATGCTACGTGGCCGTTGTCAAGATGGCAACCAACAATGTCACAAATTTGAAGCGCGAAATTAATTAGAATATCGTTTCTATTATTATTATTATTATTAATATTATTAATTATTATTATTATTATTATTTTTATTATTATTATTGTTATTATCAACCACTATTATTATTATAAATATTATTAATTATTATTATTATTTTTATCATTATCATTATTATTATTATTATTATTATTATTATCGATGACGTTAAAATTATTAGCAACAATGTTGACGTTGTTAATTAATCTATGCGTAGGGAGAGTTGTTTTAATTTGTTGTTGGTTGTTCAATGTAGGTTTTTGCATTTCTATTAGAATGGCTTCAGCGAGTTTAAGATTTTGATATTGTTGGGTACTATAGATGATGGTTGTGTTTTCATTTAGTATACCTCTGGTGATTGTTGTGTTTGTCAAGGAGATGGGTTTTAATGGCACCTTCTCTCTTATGCATCGTCAATCTCCGTGATAAATCCGTGGTAGTCATGCCGATATATGATGATTTTAGACGCATACAATCGTCAACTGGACAGGAAAATTTATATATGACATGACTACGTTTCAGTTGTGATTCAACACGTGGTGTGCAATTATTTATTAAGATGAGGTTTGATGTTTTAGTGTTTTTATAAAAAATCCTTAGTTTGATTTTATCATTAGGATCTGTAGGAATTATATTGTTTTTTATTATATTCTTCATTATCAATTCATCGATTTTATAAGAGGAAGACATGAAATTACGGTAGTACAGTATAATATCCTTCTTTTTGTTGTTATTATAGTCATTATTAGTGTTGTTGTTATGGGTGTCGACATTGCGTTTCGTTGCGATTATAAAATGGATTTCAACATTTTGAATAGACTTAATTGTAAAGAACTAGTTCAAAATATTAGAAAATCAACCATAAAACTTGTTAATGCTGAATCGTCGGTGGATTTTTTGAACAACTATATATATATATAATATATATATATATATATATATATATATATATATATATATATATATTTTAAAGTTAATTTTATCAATATGTTAAATATATAGTCTATAATAATTAATAATATTATTTTCAAAAATGTTTCGCGCTTAAAATTAAGTTATACTGTATGACGTCATTTGTTTACAAACGGTGATTTTCGTTATTATTTAAAAATATTTTGCACTGACGATGATATATTTTATATCGAAAAAGCTTTTTGCAATTATTTATAAATATTAATAAACATGAACAATAATAATTTTAGTTTTTTACTTAATAAATTAAATAATTATAATAAAATTTTAATTAGAAAACTTGAAGAATTAATGTATAAGCATAATAATTGTATTAACGCGGTTGATTTTCTTAAAAACTGTATATATATATATATATATATATATATTTATTTATTAATTGTTATATATATATATATATACATATATACAACTTGGTTATTTGTAACAGATTTTTAACCTTTGAAAACAGCATTTTGATGAAATAATATTAAAATGATTTGTATTTCTTTTCATTTGAATACATTGCCAATTTTTAAGCATAAATTAAATCATACAGTAGATGTAATCATTCCAAACTTATCAAGACGTTTGCAAAGTCTGTTAAGATAGGATAATCGTTCATTTTTAATTAAATTTGAGTGAACTCGCGAACTCCAACCGATTAAAAGTTAACCTGATTTATCTCTCTTTAACCTTTTACGTGAATTAAAATTTTCATCTAAAACATGTCATTGAGTGGGAAATTTGCTTAACAAAATGAAACATTCCAATTCATTGTTGTAAACTGCATCAGTTTTAGATGATATTCTAACTAATCAAAATGGTTATCATCAGGCTGGGGTTGTTGCTGCAGACTTGTCTGAACATTATCCAGTTTTTTGTTTAACGAACAATATGGAAGTTCATAAAGCTAGTTTAATTTAAAATCAGAATAATCTACACCAATTGGGATTTCATTTTGAATGATAGTGATGTGAATAGTTGTGTGGCAAAATTTCTTGGTTATTTTCGAAGGACGGTGGATAGTTATTCAAAGTGTGTGTTCGTGTTTCTAATCCACATTTTTGCTAAAAAGATTCTAGATTTTAATCAGTATTGATGCAGCTTTGTTGAACTTGGCTCAACAATTCTATCATCATATTTTTGGGTTGGTCTCTTTAATTTTGTAGACTAAGATTTTCAAGACATGTTCTATATAAGACCGACAAATTGGACTCATTGCAACAGTCGAAACGCATTCCTTACGATGTTCAGATCAATTGTTTTTGTTTTATTTCTTGCTGGGCTGACATTCGCCGGTGAGTTTGAATTATTTTTATCCACTTTCATAAAGAAAAATCACAAATATGATCAGATTATTTTCAATGACATTAAATAAAATTCATGACAAAGAAGTAACTATTCATGAAAAACTCACAACTTCGCCATTATTTTTAAACTTTCTGAATAAAACGAGCAATAATAATTCTAGATTTTATTTAGGTGAACACACCTCAAATGTTTCGAACTTCAGACGACAGCGATGGTCTGGCTTCAGGGCTTCCTTACGGTGGTGAAGAGTACGTCAGTTATGGACTGCCCTGTGGAGTGCCGTGTGAGCCCCCTTACATCTACCTCGGTAGGGGAATGTGTCGGAAACATATTTTTATTGGCTGAAAGTGCCGAAGACACTCTGCTTCACAATCAAGGCAAAAAATATATGTCCAAGTGCATCATTAGTTAAACATGAAAATTAAAAATACCTTTTGTTAATTTTCAAAAAAATGTATTTTGGAATAAAATAAATTTATCAAAAGTTTTGTTTGTTAGCATTTATTTGCGTTTTAATAAATTGCAACAAATCGATTGAGATAAAGTTATTTTTCAGCAAGCTACGGCATTTTTATTATTTTAAAGTAGGACACATTATCTGTCAATCAAAGACATTTATATTTAATTATTGTATAAAACATTCTTCCTGATATTATAGCGCCGTGATGATTAGAGGCACCTCGTTCTCTTTCGTGCTTTTATATTTTTAAAAATTGGTAAATAATTTCAAAAATAAAATAATCAAAATTTTCTTTCATCCATTTTTCAAATTCATCGGGATTTTCCTCCACTTACGGTTTAAAAGCACTCCACAAAATGATGAAATGTTATGGTGATGAAATCTATAATGACGAATTGCTATCATGGTGAAAAGTTAGAACGATATAATGGTGAAAAGTTGCAATGATGAATCGCTATAATGGTGAACAGTTGAAATGATGAATGCTATAATGGTCAAAATTTGCACTGATGAGATGTCAGGGGACCATATATTTTACTATTAAACAAGCATTATGATCTAACTACGGATTTAAAACCAATGTTTTCACTGTTAATCCAATTCAAACAATTCATATCCGTTATTTCCATCTGTAGCAAACTCTTTACTTTGTGTAACTTGCATTTCAATGGATGAACGTTTATGTTGGTGTCATACACGTTATTGTAATTTCTGTTTGGGTAGCCATACGCGATGAACTCATTTGGGAATTCTTCCCTGGTCTTCTTTTCAATAATTACTCTCTTAATTCTTAGCAGTAAATAAAATTTCTTTTTAATTTCGTATCGTAAACCGAATGAATTTTCCTCCCTCTTCTTTGGTTCACACCTGGAATGACGCACCTGCAATTTTGTGTTTCAACTTTTTAATCCGAGTTAATGCACGTAACAAGAATTACAGTTAGATCATAAATACACATGCACTGTGCATACAAATGGAATATTTCCGCGTCAAATTTGGGAAAGTTTTGAAAACTAAAGTTAAGATCATCCAGTGCAGGTGTGAATTGTGCATCTGAATGTAGGCACGTGCCAACAACGAAACAGAAATTTATATATCAAAAATTATTAACCAATGAACTTTTTTTTAGAATTTGTGTATTTGTAGACAAAAGAATGTGAATACGAAATGAAGTCATTTATGAAATTTGCATGCGAAAAACATGTTTTTCACAGCCTGTTCAAATATGTTTATTTGTTAGTTAGTTTGTTCATTGTTTGAATGTTTGTTCGTTCGTTTTTTCGTTCGTTTGATCGCTCGTTCGTTTGTTTGTCTTTTTGTTTGTATGTTAGTTTACTCGTTCGTTTGTTTTTTCGTCCGTTTGTCCGACTGTTCGTTCGTTCATTCGTTTGTTTGTTTTTTGTCATTTTGTTAGTTTTCATTCAGAAGTTGTTTATTCATTATAATGTCCTATTTAGTATAAAAAATGGCAGGTGCTTACAAACAGATTATGTAATATCTAATAATTATATATATATATATATATATATATATATATATATATATATATATATAGATAGATAGATATTGGAGTCACGTAGTCATATTTTGCAGCTCCCACAACAAGCTTGAATGAGCTGAAGCAGAGATCATCTTGTCAGGTAGATCATAAAACAAACTGTTGCAATAGTCTAGTCTTGTATGTACAAATGCATGGACCAAACTCTGGACTATATCTTTTTGAAGTGATCTTTTAATTATCCTCAAAATGCGCAACTGATTCAAGCAAGTATTTGTAATAAATGCAACCAAAATTGACAGCCCTGAAAGAAAATTTAATCTCCTGATCATTAATGACGCCTGAGTCGGTTTTAACTCTTGAGGGCTGTTAAATTGATTCAACTTTAAACGGTTGCAAGACATCTAAACATCTAATTTCGTCAGACATTCAATGAATTTGTTCAACATTACTAAGAACTCACAGGTGGCTCACTGACAATGATCTGGATATCATCAGCATAAAGCATAAGCGTGACTGTAGAAATCAAAAGAATCAACTAATCGAAAAATATCTGCCGTGAATAAAACAAATAAGATTTGAATCTGGTCTGTAGTTATTTTCATCGCTTGTATCTAACCCATTTTTTTTTAAAAGAGGCATCACCAGGGCATGTTTGTAAAAAACAGGAAATTTTCCAGTACTTAAACATTGGTTGATAAAACTGGTAATAAACTTTGAAAATAAGTTATAGTGCTTCTTGAAAAGTGGGCAGAGAAGCAGTCGACATTGCATGTTTAATACGGCGAATTCAAAATTATTCCTTTTATATCATTCTCAGTATAGTCAGCAACGACCGAAAACACTTAAAATCGCCACAAGCAACTGATGGTGGATCACTGGATACTTTAGATTTCATAACTTTGACAATTTTGTCATTAAACAAATTTAAAAACGATTGCGCCCATTGATTGGATTCATCTGGACTAGATGCAAATGGCTTATCTTTGCAAAGCATTTAATTTAGAACTCTCCAGAGCTGTTTTTAATGGTACCTTCCATCATTGATAAGTCTTTTCTTATAATTATTTCGTATTTTTTGAAAAAAGACTTTTTTAAAGCTCAAAGCTTCAATCCATTCTGTTTTATTTACAACCGACAAAGTTCAAAGACGAGCGAGCCGAATGAATAACAATTGTGGAAGACTTTCAAATGAGGAAAGATTGATGATATGTGGACTGAAAACTTTGGATAGACGTAAGACTAAATGAGATCTTATTCAGACGTACTATTTCTCCAATTTACTGAAATTAGAAACACAAGAGGGGACCAGTACAACCTTTTCATAGAAAGGGTAGGAACAATAAAAGGATGATTTTTTCAACTCGAGAGTTATTGAACATTGAAATAAGCTGGAAAAATCTGTAACTACTTCTACAACACAGGAGTTCGAAGTCAGACTTGGAAGATTATGATTTTGAATCCAAATTTTTAGTCAAAATCGATCCAGTGGTTATGCTATGTTATGTTATGTTATGTCATTTTTGAAGCTTTGATGAGCAAGTTTTTTAGATGCCATTATTTGCCAATTCGGTTTCCTTAAAATTTTGAAGTCTCTGTCGTTTTGTACATTTAGCCCAGTTTTAGTTGGCTCACATCGGAGAAACGTGCATTGTCTGGTGAAAATTAGCTTTAACCGATATTTAGTTTTGAGTATTGATTAATTTAAGTTTAGTTGGGAAAAACGTTTCAACTGTAACTCACGCACACACACACACACACACACACACACACACACATACAAACACACACACACACACAAACACACACACATATATACACACATATATACACACACATTCTTGCTCTTTTTTCATTCCATAAAGTATATAAGTGTGTATGAAAGTATGTTGGGACAAAACATGCTACTCAAAAAATACCTGAAAACAGAGCTTAATAATTCATGAAAAAATGTTTAGCAACGAATCAACAAACAGTATCAACAAATATATTTAAATTAAGAATCGAGTTATCATCTGATAATACAAATCCTGTTAAGTTGAGTCCATCATATTTTTTACCACCATGATGTCTTCAAACTCCAGAATTAATGGCATTTGGTTTCTGAATTATTTGATATTTTTATATAATGTTCTAGTTGCCAGTAACATTGTTGATCCAAACCCTGTAAACGCTAGAGAAGCGATGTATCACAAAGCGAGCAACATCATCGTGGACATCATTGATGTCAGATACAACATCAGCAATGGACCAGCCAGAAGCAAACTGGAGTCAGATGTTTGTTCTCCTGTCAAATGTTCGATGTTGTGCCTCTCCAAGGAATCGTTTGCTTGCAAGGGCTTCGAATATGATGGCAGTCTGAAGAAGTGCAAGTTGGTGACCGTGCCTGGAGTCAATAATGAAACGAGTGCTGCTCAAGTGCGTTATCGCAAGATGGAAGGTTCGTTTTGATAACTCAAAATGAAATGTTGAAATAAAATCAAAGCAACTGAAATTCAATATTTATATGTTTTTGTTTCATTCTCTGCAGTTTGTCCGACGAACACGACCTACTTCCCATCAATAAGATCATGCCTTATCCTGGTAACCGAGAAAATGGCTTGGGCAGATGCAAGGTCCAAATGTAACAACATGCCCTTGAACTTTCACCCTTTGATTATTGACAGTTCAAATGTTACTTCAGCTCTGGGAAAATTTTTGAATTTGATTTCCAGTCAGTAACGATTAAAAAATGTTTTTTAAAAGTAATTTCAAAAAATAAAATTGCTTCCAAAAACAAAGCTCCGCTGCAATTTAGAATTTTATCTCAAACTAACGTTACAGATAAATGCAAAGATAAATGGGGCTGGACCATTTGGACAGCAGGGACATGGATTAGGATCTTTAGATTTCCATTTTTATGGCGGTGCGTCTTTACGAATGGTCTATCAAAATTGGGCAATTGGTAAGCCAGATTATTACTACCAATACAACGGTCTGCAATTCAAAAAAAGTTATATTTATAATTTTAAGACACTCAAATAGGTTTCCAATGTCTAAGTCATGTGAAAAAATGTATGTATGTGTGTATGTATATGAATATTTTATTCAAGGTAATGTACATTTTAATTATTATCAATAATAGTTAGAATTTCTGTCATTTTTATAAATATTAAACAATATTTATTAAAGACACTATTTACTGATAACATTTCGAGCTAATATTTAATTTTCAACTAGTTTAAACTTGTTTTTTAATTAAATATTTATAGCCGGAATAAAATTTGACAAAAATATCTGCAAATATTAAATGTAATGTCCATTTACAGGCTGCTTGCACCTTTTTAATGAATTTCTTCAATGGAATAACAGTGATTGTAATAATGTTAATTATTGTGTCATCTGTCAACTTGACCTCTACTGATGACACCAACGAGCTCACGTTTCATGCTATTGAAATAGTTACATGAATTTGATGTTCTATGAACGTGGCTAGTTAATAAACGAGTGAAACTATACAAACTCAAATATATAAGTAGAAACATTTTGTAGAAAACATTTAGACATAGCAAACAACTCAGTTTAGCATTTTTGATCATCAGTGATGGATCTAGACAATGTTGACGGGAGGGCAAAGGCAAAAATTAGGCTGACGGCTCCTTTTTGCCTATCACGCTAAATTTTTGGTGCAACTTGTTGTACTCAAAAACTGTGTTCTCCTTTCTAAAAACTAGATCCGCCACTGTTTTTGGTATATTTTTGAATATATGTAAAAGATTCAAAATTAATTCTTAAATGTGATTTTGGAAAATTTGGAAAAAACATCACGAATCTAAATTATTTCTAGTTCGTAAATTTTTATTTTACCATACAGTTAAACATTTACTGCTGTTTACACTAAACGCTCCAAATTTGTGATCACAGTTTCTTAATATATTTTAAATTTTAAGTAACACGTTTGTTCATGATAAACTTCCAAAATGTTACATGAATTTAAAAGTTCTGGTTTGGTTCGATTCGATATTCGAATCCCTATTCGATCTGAAAAATTTCTAAGTTGAAGCGTTCCTTTGTTATATATAAATATATGTATATATGCTGGTAAACGACCATAAATTACTGCATTAGTTATATATATATATATACATATATATATAGACCATAGTTTTTGTTGGTAATAGACTATAATTTTTATAATATTCTATAAATTCTAACGAATTATTTAACGCCAAACATAATTAATTAATTAACGCCAAACATTCGGTAGAATTTATAGAATATAATATATATATATAACTAATTAAACAATTAAATAAAGTTAATTAAAGTTTTAGTTAATTAAATAACTAAAATATATATATTATATATATAAACATTTTTTAAAGTAATTAATAATTTAATTACGTCCAATGTTAGCTTTGGCAGACAAGTGTCATTGTGTAGTTTCAAAAAAAAAACATAGAGAATATCTAATTTGAAAACACCTGTTAATGTTTGAGTTTATAATGTCAATTATTTTCAATGTTCGTTGCATATGTTCTGTGAAGTTTCAACATGTTCAAAGTACTTGTGCTATTCGGAATTGTTGCTCTGTTGGCATTTTCAGGTAATCTTTTTAAGTATAAACTATAGATTAAATATACTATTTCAGCTTGTTTTCAAAAGCATAATTTTGCTTAGGAACATCATTTTGTTAAACCTTTCATAAATAATTTTAGTGTCAACACCTTATGCATGGGATGTGCAAAGCGTAAATCTTCACACAAATTTGCATGACATAGGGGTGGCTCTTTTAGAGTTCTAACCTGATTTCTACAGCGTCTCAGCCCTCACACTGCCTTGCCTGATGAAATAATAAACATTATTTATTTAACGAGATATCTGAAACACATTAAAATTTCTGCAGTAAAGAGCGGGTCGGTGGACAAGCGATTCAGTGCAGACGACAGCAACTTCTACAGGACTCCTGAAAAGAAGTTCATTGGGCAAAAAAACTGCCCAGATGGCAAGATTGCTGTTGGGTCGATGTGCGTTAATGGCATAGTTGGATAGGTTGGTACAAAAGTTTGTCCACCCGGTGAGACAGCCGTTGGCAATGTTTGTCTTACCTTACCAGATAAGAACTGATTGAAGAGAGAGGGGGGGCATAACTCATCCTGAAATAATACCAAGAAATTTTTCACAATTCAATTAAAACTATAAATTAAATTTATTGTTTTTTGTTACAAATTTATGAATCATAGTTTGATTTGAGTTATTTCAAATTTTTGAACTTTTTGTTAAAAAGCAATGACTTTGGTATTGAAATAAAATATTAATCGTTTGTTATTTTGAATGAATCTGTAAAATTTTTACCGTGTCAACAACCTTTTTGTCAGTTGCTAAAATCTTATAACATTAACAAAACAATGATTAATCATGTTCAGTTAGGCATTGTGGGCAGGTAGGTTGAACCTGAGGCGCATTCATTATTCATAAAGTTTTTTCGTTAAACATCAACAACTGGACAACAATTTTTTATCAGTTTCTTTCTAAAGAGCTCGTCAGTCTGGCTATCGAAGGTTTCTCTCAACTGGGAAGGAATAGTTAGACTTCTGATATATTTTGGCCCCTAATACATCAAGCTTCTTTCCTTGAACTGTTTCCTATTGCAAAATACGTTGAGTTTATAGGGTTAGTCAAAGTAAGCTCATTCAAGGAGATTTCAGAAATAAATTTGTCTGAAATTTGTAACCAAGACCACAAACTATCAATAAATGTATTTTTATGCTTATTTGAGAAGTTTGAAAAAAATGATGATAAAATATTCCACACATTTTCAGTTCAACGCAGTCGAGATTTTTTTAACAAAAAAATTATTTGAGTTTCAATGCTTTTATTTGAAATAACAATTTTGAAAATTTAGTTATCGTAAAATTTCCAACTCATAAACATGTCCACCAGCCTACAAGGTTTATCTAACAAATATTAATTTTAATATTTTAAATATTAATTTTCCTTTATATTAAGAATTGAAACATACAATTTAATTTTAAACATAACAAAACATAGAAGACTTATTGTAAAAATTCAAACTCAATGGATATAGCAGTATTTATGTCGGGTTTGTCACCTCATTGAGTCTAATTTGAAGGAGGTGTAGTAGGTGTGGTACGATAGTTGCACGCAGTAACTTTCTGATCCCAGACAAGACCGAAAGGACAGGGCATAATATGGCAGGTATTCCCGGAGATGGTGTCAGAACATTGAACATAATATCCATAGTCTTGTTGAAAGGGGAAGTAAAACTTACCCGCTTCTGAGTTCTCCGGTGTGCAAGGATTTTTATCATAGCAGTTGTACCCTCCAGTATTTACGCCTTTGTTAATTTAGTAAGTTTGTTTTTAAGTTTATTTTATATTTTAATAAAATTTCGGTAATAAATTTCTTTTTCTTTTCAATTATTCTTTAATTTGAAATATTACTTTACCATTGCTTAAGACTGTGGCAAGAAGACCAAAAATTGAGAAAAGTGTCAAGTAGTTCATCCTGTTAGTCAGCTGCAATAAATTTAATTTATAATAAATATAAAATCGAGACTAATAAAACTTTCTAAGACACTCACTAGAAATAAAAATGGCATATGAAAAAAAATGTTGGCTGTTTAGAACAATATCGAAATGTATGAAACTTCATTTATGGTTAAAACGACAAACTCTAGAAGTGCTAACTAACCCTTATATACACGAGAATATGTTTGGTCAAGATAAAAACATTGACCGATTTGAAATTTTTAAAATAAAAGTATCTGGTTATAGCCATGGAGAAATATGATATCCATGTTTTGTACAAAAAAAATGAATGGACAAATTTTAAAAAAATAAATGGACATAATTGGACATAATTAGTTTCTCTTTCCAATGTTTCCACTTTTAACTTGTCTTCCACAGATTGATTGATTGATTGATTGACTGACTGATTGATTGATTGATTGATTGATTGATTGATTGATTGATTGATTGATTGATTGATTATAATTACAACATAAGCTTAGTCCTTAAAACATGGTTGGTTTATAATGAATTAGGGGAACTTTTTGTTGAAATTGAAAGTTGAGAAACAACCGATTGAATTGGCTTAAAATTTTATAATTAACAGTTTTTTAACGTCATAAATGTTTAATAAAATGAAATGTTTAGCATTCATTATAAATATATAGTTGCTAGGATTACATGGCTAAGTCCAAGCCACAGACTTAATTCTTCTTGGATCACTATAAATCTTTATGTTATATTTTTTCCTACAAGGTACTTTGTCTTTTGAATGAAATTAAACCTGTCGAGTCGAGTATTATTTGTTTTATTTTGCTTCTTTTTTAAATTATGTTAATGAAACTCTGCTATTGAGGAAAAAAATTTTTGTATTTCTAAAGTACGCGAGTTAACTAGTTTAAAATAAAATTTAAAATTTTGTTAAAACAACAAGCGAAGGCACAAACTTTGAAATCTTCCAATCTGTCACAAGAAACAATCTACTGATCAAACTGCTCTATTGACTGCCTGAATCATGAAACCCGACTGCTTCATATAAACGATTTTACGGTTGACTTAACTCTCTCCGCTGTCATTCTTATTATACTATACTGCATGTTTGTGTAACTATTTAAAGTAGGATTTCCAATATATCTTGTATGTGCTACATTGTTGAATATGAACATGCCTTTTAAGAATACAGCTGATGTATTGTGAATAACCGTTAAGCATAAAGATAAATATTCCATTATATGTAAACCTATATTTATCTATTCGTTTATTTAGAAACATTTTTCTTTCAACAGGTTTATTCATGAAAAAAAAGGATACCCGAAAATGTACATAAACACAACCGAAATGGTTTTTAACGTGTTTCCCAAAAGACCATATAAGCTCGATCTCTGGTTTAAAAGGTCTAAAATTGTTCAGGTGAGCAGCTCTCAAACCGAGTAGGTGGTTTGAAAATTGAGCTAAATGCAAATTAGGAAGTTAAGTCAGTCTGTAAAATTACTGAGATATGATTAATGAGTAACAGTAGCTTAGAAAGGAGTGGCATTTCATTGAATGTAGTGAAACGTAATTTTTTGAAAAATCTTTACAATGTGGTTCTGCGCTTGGCAAAGCTGGTTATATGTTACTTTACACTCGTGTTTATTATGTTATATCATAATATGTCATAATATGTTTGTAATAATTATCTCAAAATATACCACAATATTAGCAAAAACGCTGTATGCAAATAAGAACTTCAATGTTAACATTACTGTTACTAGCAACCATTGTCATAGCTGGATGAAAAATATTTGGCCCGGCCACCAAAAAAAAATTCTCAACTTTTGCATGATAATTTCATTTTGTTAACAAACTACATCATACAAGGAAAGGAATAATGTATTAATTTATTGCTTTATCAATTTTTATCCAACATTAAATATCTTAAATGGATACATATCTATCAGTCAGTCAGTCAGTCAGTCAGTCAGTCAGTCAGTCAGTCAGTCAGTCAGTCAGTCAGTCAGTCAGTCAGTCAGTCAGTCAGTCAGTCAGTCAGTCAGTCAGTCAGTCAGTCAGTCAGTCAGTCAGTCAGTCAGTCAGTCAGTCAGTCAGTCAGTCAGTCAGTCAGTCAGTCAGTCAGTCAGTCAGTCAATCAGCCAGTCAGCCAGTACAGAGAGAGAGAAATGGAATAAGAAAGAGAGAGAGAGGGGGAGAAAGAAAAAGAGGAAGAAAAAGAAAAAAAGGAAGAAAAAGAAAGCAAAAAAAATAGAAGAAAGCAAGAGAGAAGTTTAGCTTTACAGTCAATCAGTCAGTCAGCCAGCCACACCCAATTTTGCAAGCCAAATATGTATAAATATTATTGTGATTCAATTCTATGAAGCAAATTTTTTCCAATCATTTTCTGAACCGTACTTATCTAGAAGTATTGAATTAACCCAGTAAGTTCTTCATATGATGTAATTAAAGAATGACAGACAGCAGAAAGTTATTTAATAATTTATTTTTTGAAAGAAAAATAATTTTCAGTTTTTGTCATCACTAAATCACATTATATCGTATCGTATCGTATCGTATCATATCATATCATATCATATCATATCATATCATATCATGTATCATATCTATCATATCATATCATATCATGTATCATACCATACCATACGTATCATACCATACCATAACACACCAGATTTATACATCCTCAACTGCACCGTCGTCATCATCATCATCATCATCATCATTGCTAGTCAGAACATTATCATTCTTAACGATTTCATCATCGCCATCATTGTCTGATTGCATCTCAACTTCTGTCGTCTCGCTTGGTTTAAGATCCTCACCTGCAAAAAAATAAAATAAATTTCTTAAAAATAATTAATCAATTAATAATGAAACTTTATGGCCCAATGGTTTAAGGCCTTGCTGGTCCTGCTGCTGCAGTGACTGGGTTCGAATACAAAGAGATCCCCGCCTATCATATGCAATGTGTATGATGCATGGCTTGCACGCGTATTCATATTCGCAGTGTGTTAGTCGTTGAAACCTCTTAAGCAAGTGCAAAAGAGAGAGAGTAACATTTAACCTTTAATGTAAACCTTGGAAGAGCGCAATAGAATTTTTTAACCTTTTGACCTTTTTTTTTTAAAAAAACCCGAATAACAAAAAAAACATTCTCCGAGCAATAGCTCCAGCGAAGAAAATGAGAAAAAAATTAAAATTCCTAAAATAGAAAAAAACCCCGAAAATTGCAAGCCAACCTCTGATATTGACAGTCTTTGATTCCTTGCTAGAGGCTTCATTGAGTTTTTTGTTGTACTCTTCGAAGGACTTGAAAGCCTGGCTCTTCTTCGTCCACATGGCTGTGATGGTTATTCGGAACTTCGACATCTTGTGGTCAAATAATTTCTGAAAAATTCAAATTCTTCTTCTGAGAAATTCACTTTTGTTACATTAACTCTCTTTTTTTTTAATTAAAGATTTATACTTTTCAACTATTTCTAATTTAGCATCGTAATTCACAGAAATTACAAAATGAGATCAGAGTTATGAAAGTTTCAAATATATTATAAAGAAATTTTTCTCAAAATTTTCAGGTGTTCGAACTCACGCTAGTACGTTACATTTTGTTGGTTCTTAACTAACTAATTAGAATACAAATTCATTTTGTCTTGCTTTTTGTTTTGTTTTTTTTTTACCGTTAGTATATTTCTCAATAAGCCTTCACCCATTTCAACAAACTAAAGAATAAAAACAATCCAAGTCAATGCATCCATTGGACATGTATTAAAATCCTTATCCACTAGGTCCAAATGGCATAAAATTCATGGAAAAATATAGAATTAATAACAATTAGAAGGAGAAAAAGCATACAAGGAGAAAAAATTAATGGAAAAAAAAACTCTTACCAGTATTCTGGCTTGTTCAGGGTTCAAGACATCATCCTTTCTGCATACTGTGAATTCTTTTAGTAATGTGATCACCCCTGTCGATGAAGATTAATCGATGAAGATTATCACCCGTTTGTCAATCTGCAACTTATCAGCCAATCAAATTTTATCCTGCTAGTAATCAGCCAATCAAAATCCATCCAGCAAATCAACCAACTAATCGAATTTCATCTTGTCAAACAACAAGCCAAACAGAATTTACCCAGCAAAATAATCCAACCAATGAAAATTCGGTAAGCAAACTATCCACCTATCCAACCAAAATTCATCTAGCCAACAAATCAACCAATCAACAAACACCTAGCATAATAACCAGCCAATCAAAATTAAGTAATCAAACTAACCAACCAACTAATCCCAAAAAATTCATCTAGCCAACCAGCCGATGGACCAATCAAAAACCATCTAGCAAATTAACCAGACCAATCACAGACCTCTCTCCAACGAAGTGGGCAGCCCTAACTGCCTGAGCTGGGGCTCGATGCTGTGACTGAATGAAGGGACGGGGCCCGCTTGTAAGACAACCGTGTGTGGGGCCCTATTGCCCGAGCGTGCATAATCATCTTTCACGTAACTTTCAAACCATCTGGTGAAATCATCATCCTCATCATCAACATTATCATCATTATCATCATTATTATCATCATCATTATCATCATCATTATCATCACCATTATTATTATTATTATTATATAACTCTTTAGTAGTTCTGGGAAGACAATCCATTCAGTAAAAACAGTTCACGAGATATCATAATGGCTAAATCAAGACAACAGACCAAAATTATTTTTACTACTTTTACATAGGGTTAATCAGTATTGATGCATACATGTAGCGCAGATGTTATTAATGCATTTATATAGTGCTAATTAAAAAAAATATTTTCTCGGAAAGTGCCATTGAAACCGTAGGCAAAATATAAAAAAAAGTAATTTTTTGTGAAATATTGAAAACAAACGAAAAAATAAAAAATTTGTAATAGCAGTTAACTTTTAATCTAAATTTAAAAAAAAATTTAACAAAGAAAAAAAAACCAAACGAACTTGAGGACATCATTTTCTGGTGTATCGGTGAACAAAATTCCTGTAAAGAAAATTAAATAAAAAATTTACACCATCGATAAATGAATTTTGAACTAACTATAAAGCAGATGAATAAATTAAAGAATAGGAGAGAGAGAGAGAGAGAAAGAGAGAGAGAGAGAGAGAGAGAGAGAGAAAAGAATACAAACAATTAATAAAGAAAAAGAAATGAATTAAAATGAATAAATGAATTAAAATGAATAAATTATAAAAAATTAAAATGTCACAACAACTAAATAATAAATAAAAAACAAAATAAAAACGAAAAATTATGAAAAAAAATTGAAGAAAAAAAAATTTTTTTTTTTTCAAAAACCTGTCTGCCCACGTAACTTGTCAGTGACCCGGTGCAGGTTGGTCTGGTGTTCGGACTCCTTCGTTTTGCCAAGAGCAAGGGCCATAACCTTGTTCTTGCCAAACAAGAATCTAAAAAATTTCACGTCACTGTAATTATAAGTACACAAGATACTACTGCTTAAGCTACCACTACTACTACTACTACTAGTATCACTACTACTACTACTACTACTACTAAAACTACTACTAAAGCTACTACTACTAGTGCTGCCACTACTACTACTACTACTACTACTACTACTACTACTACCACTACTACAGCTAATACTAAAGCTAACACTACTAGTGCTGCTACTACTGCTACTACTAGTACTACTACTACTATGCAATATAATACAAAACTTACAATGACAATACAATATTATACAAAACACCACAAAGTAGTACAAAACATGTACAACTAAAGAGACAAACAAAAGAGACTAAACCAAACATACAAAATAAACAATACCAAAAAATACAATACAAACAAAACCAGAATAACAAAAATATAGAATACCAAAAAATAGAATACAAGACAAAAAATACAATACAAACAAACCAAAAAAATACAAAAAATTTAAAACAAGTGAAATCAAAATATACAATACAACATCAAACAATACAATACAACACCAAACAATATAATACAAAAAATACAAAAACAAACAATACAAAAAACATACAATACCTGCTATGGCCCCATTCCTGTCTAACATCTTTCATCTTGGTACTTCGCATGTTCTCGACACTGATGACGTAGAGGTACTTGTACTTTTCTATGCATTCGTGGATCTAATTTTGATATGATATCAATCCGATATGATACGATATCAAATTTTTATTGAGACGTTTGGATATGATATGATATCAAACTTAAATTCAGATACTTGGATATGATATCAATCCGATATGATATGATATCAAACTTATATTTAGGCCATTGAATATATGATATCAAACTTATATTAAGACATTTGGATATGATATGATATCAAACTAAAATTTAGACATTTAAGTATGATATCAAACTTATATTAAGACTAGAGCCCTGCTCGGTTGGAATTTTCAAAAACTGCAACCGCACAAAACCGCAAGAAATGAAAAACAACATTAATGCTTTTATTGACATTATAAATCACAACTATCCACATCCAAATCACTGTTACACTTAATAAATAACATTTTGTCAATTTTGTATGGATTTAAACTGGACCGTCTCTTTTGCAGTGTATAATTGAGAGATGGTCCTACCCTTTCTGACGAAACACTCGAAACTGGGATGCTGAACAGAAAATAGGAAACTTGAGCTTTTAAAGAAACGTCTTTGCTTTTGGACAGCATCAATTTAATCAAAAATTCTTTATCAATTACATCTACCTGTGGATCAACTTCAACATTTTTTACCTCGGACATTTTTATAAAATAATCGATAATTAACCACGCCGTAAATAAAATAACTACTTCTTTCAAAGCAAACAGGAAAACGAAAATGGTTGCTTCAACGTCTTCCAAAGATATTAAAATTTTAATGTATAAAATTATTACAATGGTAATGCAATTTTTAAAACGTTATGGACGAACAAAAATATTAAAAAAATTTTTGCGGTCACCGCTGTTTTGATAAAAAACCGTGCCGTGGAAAAACCGCGTAAAACCGCATGATTTTGCACCGCAACCGTAAAAAACCGCGGTTGTGATTTTTGCGGTTTAAACCGAGATAACCGCAAACCGCGCAGGGCTCTAATTAAGACAACTGGATATAATATGATATCAAACTTATATATATAGTATAGACACTTGGATATGATATCAATCCAATATGGTATCAAATTTATATTTAGACATCTGGATATGATATTAAATAATATTACATTGATATATCAAATTATTATCTACAAATTACAGACATTTAATATGATAACTATCTGATATGATATAGATATATAGATACTATGGTAAAGAAGAATTCTTGTTTGCAGTTTCGACAAAAAAAAGAACATAGGAGCAGAAAGAAAGAGGAAAAGATTAAATAATAAAATAAAAGTATTAAATAAAAATATAAGTGAAAAATAAAAATTAAAAAGTTATGTATAATTTTGTAAAAAAAATTAATTAAATTTAATTAATTTATTTTATACTTTATAGTATTTATATATTTTAGCTAGTTCAGTTCAGGCAGAAAAATGAATTAAACCTACTTTAGTTACTATGAGCTTTTTATTATCAAGTCCCTTTTTCTTTGTTTTCGTGAGAGATACTAAAACGGTAAAAATTGTAAATCGTTTTAAAAAATTAATTTTTAATAATTAAAAAGTTGATTAATAAATTACTAAATAGAGTTTAAACGCATGATACACCTATTATCGCTCAGTAAAAATCTCCCAAAGCGTAATAAACTTAAAATAAATATAAAACTAAAATTTGACAAAAAATAAATAGCATAAAAATTATTTAACCTGCTTTGTTTCTTTTAGATTTCGGCATTATTGTTAGCTGAATGAATTTTGATGAGTTTTTGTGACGATTATTATTTTAAAACTCGTGTCGAGAAAAATAAATTTAACAACATAACGTTAGTTCAGTTGGCTAGGCAGTTAAGTTTTGAATAAACGTTCTATGGTGGTGATTTTGCCGACAGGTAATAAATGTAATTAAAAGCATTTATAGGTTAATTTGATGATTATCATTAAATATTTTGTATATTTTTATCTAATATAGTTAAAAAATTAAAAAATATGTATTAATTATTTAATTATTTATAAATAAATAAAGTCGTTTGTCAATATGTTGAAGTGTCTTCTTTGGGGAATTTCACTGTTTATGTACCACAAAATGTCATTTTAAGTCGGAAAGAAGGGATTTTATGCTGTATAATTTTTGAGTTTATTTTTTATTTAAGTAAATTAAATATTTTTCTGATTCAAATGTTTGATTTTTAATTTAAAACGTTTCAGATAAAAATTTTCACACTTATATCACTTCCTTCTTTTCTTTTTATATTTTAGTTAGATTTTGAAACAGAAATTAAAATTAATTAATAAAGTCTAAAATGTTGAATAAATATTTATCAAATAATTCATCGAAAATACCGGAAAATATTAACAAATCCATTTCAGTTTTTTTTATAATAAAATTTTATTGTATTAAAATTAAATAAAAAATAAAATAAACCAGGTATTGTTGTTAAACATTTTTATTTTATGTCATAATTTTTCTTTTGCTGGTTTAAAATTTTTTAATAATTGAAAATCATTTTTATTTAACATTTTGAAAAATTTGCGCTTGGGTAGTTTAATGGCATTTCAGCTTTTCAGCACAACTGGCTCGCTAAAATAGTAAAATGTGTTATATTTCATAGAATTTTATAGAATTCTATAAAATTTAGTATCAATTTTTAATAATTGTTAATAATAATTATATAATATAATATAATAATTTATATTATATAATTAATATAAATATTAATAATTATATAAATTTTATAAAATTTATAAAATATATAAAATTTATTACTATTATTAATTATTATTTTTTAAATTTTATTTTAACATTCTTCTTCTTTGCAGCTTCGGATGTTTGCATCATTTCATTCTATACATTTTAATTATTTTTGTGGTTATTTTTAAAAGTAAATTCAAGTTCATAGATTGATTGTGATGGAAATAATGATTAAAAGATTAAAGTCCTGATGATATGATGATGAGTATGTTGATGATGGTGATGGTTTTGATGATGATGGTAGTGGTGGTGGTGATGATGGTGGTGGTGATGATGCTGATGGTGGGGGATTTGAAGATGAAGATGATGATGTTAATGATGATAAATAAAATGCTGTCTAAACTGTCTGCTTCTAATTAGCTTCTGAACTTACAAGCAACCAGCTTCAAAGATAACAATTTTTGATCACAATGTGCGAGAGAATGTGTGTTGTGTGTGTGTGTGTGTGTTGTATGTATGTATGTATGTATGTATGTACGTGTTTAAGTGCTTGTTTGCGCGCGTGTGTGTATGTGTGTATATATATATATATATATATATATATATATGTATGTATTTAAGTGCTTGTGTGTGTAGTGTATTTATGTATGTGTATTTATGTATGTGATTTTCCTATAATATACATACATATCTATACATTATGCATAACTTTTTTTGTTAAACAGTAAGTCTTAACTGTCTTGTGACTTTAGTGATACAATCATTTCTATATGGAGTTTCTCTAAATTGGTGCCATAAGTAGGATGAAATGATTGTGTATAGTTCAATCTCTCGAGAGTCTATTGTTTTGATAATGTTTTCATACACTGATTATGCTGAGGTTTTATTGTTAAAGTTTTTTATTAAACTTTAATATTCATCCTACATACATACATACCTACCTACCTACATACATACATACGTGCATACATACATACATACATACATACATACATACATACATACATACGTAATATACATGCAAACTTATACAATACACGTGCACATACGTACACTTATACACATGTGTACATTAATTCCAACACACACTCATACATAGATTACATCCATTCAAGTTTCTTTTGGCACATTAGCATCGTTGTTATTGTTATGCTAAGAAGAGTTTAAGTAAAAGTTCGTTCGTTCGTTCGTTTGTTCGTCCGTTCGTTCGTTTGTTTAAATGTTCACGGTTTCTGACTTATAAGGTTGTGATATATATATATCGATATATAGTATATAAATATACATGCAATTATGTGTATGTATATTGTTTTGTATATATCTGAGTATGTATCTGTGAATGTATGTATGTTGTTTTGTTTGTGCGTACGTGTGTATGTTTGTATACTGTTGTGTACTGTTTTGTTTGTATGTGTGTGTGTTTTTATTACGTTCCTGTATTGTATCAGCATTGTTGTTTTGTATTTCTTGGATGAATATACATACTGCAGCCAATAAAGTAGAATGATATAGTAAACTTTTTAAAAGGGTTTTGAATTTATTTCAGATCCAAATATTTTTAAAACATCAAGGTAATTATATAATTTAATCAGTCATTAAATTAAGTAATCAACTCTCTCTTTCTCTCTCTCTCTCTCTCTCTCTATCTCGTTAATTATTTATTATTTGTATTATTATTATCATTATTTTGTTATTTATTATTATAATTTAAAATCACGAAATGAACTCTAAAAACAAATTTATCACTAGGTGTCGTTATCAGCGCATTGTTGCTAGATGACTGGCCGTTAAAATTGCTGTCAGTAGCATGTGCGATACATTCAACATGAATGTCAACAATAGCAATAAGTGTTAGTATTCTGTGATATTTTGTTTTTTTTTGTTCGTTCGTTCGTTAATTAATTTTGTCATTCATCTGTTTATTTACTAATTCGTTCATTCATCCATTCCAGTTAATCAATGGATTTATTATAACAATATTAAGTATTTCAAATTCGCTAATTGTTTGCTAATTAAGAACATAGCATAATACGCAACGTATATACGCTTACTACAGCTACTAAAATACACAATCATACATACACATTCATACACACTTGCACAAACATAGACATACAAACAAACACACACACGTACACACATTTCTACAAACAGATATAGACGTGAATATATCGCTATGGCAGTTTCTCTTGGAGCTCCTCATGTCAGAAACTCGCAAGGACCTTTTAGACTGGACCGATGCCAAAGGTGAATTCAAGCTAATAAAGGCAGAAGAGGTCGCCAAGCTCTGGGGAATTCGTAAAAATAAACCCAAAATGAACTACGATAAACTGAGTAGGGCCCTGAGGTATTATTACGACCGAAACATCATGAAAAAAGTTCCTGGAAAGAAATTTTCTTACCAATTTGTCAACTTATCTAAAGACATTTTAGAAAAAGTTGCAGCAAAAAACCCAAATCTCGCTAATCCGAATTGTGTAGCGCACGATTCGATCAAAACCTTGCCCGTGTATTATGACAACATCGGTTTAAATTCGCTCATCTCTAATGGTTATTTCATTATTAATGACCATAGCGTTGAGAACATTCAGCCCAACGTTGGCAATGGTAGTAGCAGCAATAATATTGACGATATTTTCTCCAAGTGTAATTTATCGGCCCTCAAGACAAACTACTCCTACATCAACCATACCAGTAGAGGCCTTGTCGTTGATAACAGTTCCATCTTCCACAAATCTCAACCATCCATTGAGACTTTCAAGTTGTTCAGCCCTGAACATTTAGGAATTGTTTGTAATAGTAATAACAACAAAAACGACATTTCTCTTGTCTGTTGTAACAAAGCTAACGACACTAGCCCCAATAGCAACCAAATTTACGGTTTCAAAAACGAACATCTAACGCATCTAATTGATTACATAAAACTTGAAGAACTTGAGAATATTGAAAGCAGAAACCACTTAAGCAATAATGATCATATCAAAAATGACGTAAGTTTTACTAGGAATCTCAGCAAGAGTAACGATAGCCATAGCAATTTGTTCCGTAATTTCAAACGAGATCTCGAAACTGACTCGTTCGATTTCATTAAAATTGAGGAACCTGATTTCGTTGGTGAAGAAAGTCACTTGAACGATTTGGCTAAAATTGATTCGGACGAGAAACCACCAACGACAGATAATGCAAGAAGTTTCTTGAATTTACCAGATATAAATGTTAATCAAAACATTCAGATCAAACTAGATGTTAAGAACGCACAATCTCTACATAATCAACAAACCTTACAGTATATGCAGCAGAGTGTTTCAACCGTTTTGGAACAGACAAAACTGATAGCCGATATAAACAACAACAGCAACCTTGTTAACACTAAAACTCCAAACATTCTCCCTAATTTAAGCTTCCTCATATCACCCGACGGTCTAGTGCCTTTCGTGTCACCTTACATCTCAGTTTTGAATCAGCAAGCCGCTAATGCAACAATCCAACCCAACGGATTTTTAGATCGACCACTTTTACCGCAAAGTCAAAATTTTTCGCTATTTTTCTGCATTCCAAATACAGATAGTGAACCGACGAATATGAACGAATTAATAACTCGGAATGCCGTTGAACCGGTTTGTGCCACGGACATTACATTTGAACCACATAACGGCGCCATCCAGGGTCCCGAAATATCGCAAAATGAGGCCATCTTGAGAGAATTTGAAAAACTCGGAGTTGGTGGCGATGAAAGATTTGCGAGATCAAGCAAAACCGATGATGGTAAAGTGGTCTTTCTGGACGTCAACAACAACAAAATCAAAGCGGAGACGAACATCAACATTCACCAACAACTCAACAACAACTACATCCACCAACAACTCAACAACAACATCCATCAACAACTTAAGAACAACAACAACAACAACATCCATCAACAACTCAAGAACAAAAACAACAACAACACTGTGCTCAACCACAGCAGCAACACAATCAACAACTTCATCAACCACAACAACAACATCATCATCATTAATAATAACAACAACGTCGACTTTACATTTCCAAATTTTGACGAAAACTTGCCGACACGGTTCGAGGCAGCAGACACAGTGCTGAGTAATTCCAACCCCACATTGCCCCAGATAACAACAACTTACACAGCATCTACTGTTACCTCAATGCCTTGTAGCACCGGCACACCTGCTAGTAACACCAGGCATACTGTCAGCCCACCATCTCGCAACGATGATGATAAATCCACAACTCTTTTTACATCAGCAACTGCAGACATTGTCGAGATTCCAACATCCTCAAAGCAAAAACGACAACACGAACCTCCATTCTCACCGGCGCCAGTTATGATCAAGAAAAAATTCGACAACTCAACTTGTTATACGGATATTTATTTGAACATCCCCGCAAATACCAACTCGGTTTCAGTTGAAAAAGTCGATTTTTCACCGACAGATAACACACCTCGTGGTTTTGATGAGGCCAGCAACGATAGTAACACTACTGAGAGTTCGTCGGTAACAAGAACCGATTCAACCGAACCGATGAAACACACGACTCCAAAATCGTTATCGAAAACGAAGCCCAACCCTCTCACGATTCCACAACAGCCGTCAACGACAAACTCCTCTGCACCCAATTCGTCACACAACAGCCTCATAAGCAACAACAACAACAACAACAGTGGAAAGCACTTCTTATGCACTCCTCAATTCTGGACAACACCAAACAGCAACTCATTCCATCACTTCTCCATACCCACTCCTAACTTCCTCTCAATCATCAACAACAACAACAACAACTCGTCAGGGAGTAACCACGCCGGCCCTACAACTCCCATGGACGGGGTTCACTTCTGGAGTTCCTTCAGCCCCTTAGTTTGCCTAAGCCCTTTTAAACTGCACGGCACTCCGAACTTTCTAGCCAACAACAGTGCCAACATATTTGCTCGTGGTAGTAGGGTCTCTAGTAGCAGCAGTAATTATAGTAACAGTAACAGTACCGGTCCGAGTAATTGTAACAAAGAGGCAGACAACAGCACTTCTTCAAAAGCTTTTGCTTCTGAGGCCACAGCCGCTACAACATCGGCACCTGATGATGACAGTAACAGCAGCTTCTGTAATAATAGTATTGGCGGCGACAAAAGTAGCAGCGGCAGTAGTAGTAACCCAGATACTACAGATCCTAGTGCGACTAACCACACTAGCGGTGCAGGTGTCCTTAGTGCTAGTGTACTGAGAGGTAGTAGTAATAGTACAAGGACTATATTTCAATTTCCGACTTGTTTCAATGTTAATTCACCAATGGTTGTACCGAACGTCAGCTTCTTTGATTGCCTTCAGACGCCCAAGTATCAACTTACGCCTAAAACTCCTCGGTGATGGTGTGCTGATGTGATGTGCTGATGGTGATTAGTGTGGTGGTATTTGATGATGCGATTGTGCGTGTGTTTGTGTGTGTCTGTATGTGTGTGTGTGAGAGAGTAAATGTCTGTGTGTGTGTGTATGTGTTTGTGTATGTGTCTGTATGTGTGTGTGTCTGTATGTGTGTTTGTCTGAATATATGTGTGTGTGTTTGAATGTGTGTCTGTGTGTGTGTTTGTTTGTGTGTGTATGTGTGTGTGTGTATGTGTGTGGTGTGTGTTTGAATATCTTTGTGTGTTTGTGTATTTGTGTGATTTTGTGATAAAAATATTGAGATTATAATTAATTAAAAAATTTTTTATTATTTTGGATAATTTAAAATATTTCTTCACCTTCTGGCAAATCTAACAATCCCGATGTTAAATATCAAACTAAAATGAACAGCTGAATTTTATTTTAAATTTCATTTTTTTTAATTATTTCCATACAATTTCGCTATTTGCATTTTTCAATTTTGTTTTACAATTTTTCATTTAGCGCGCTATACAAATAATTTTGTATATATATATGTTTTATATATATATATATATATATATATATATATATATATATATATATATATATATATATATATACAAGCATTAAGCAGCTATTGTCAGTAACTGACAGATTAAATTATTATTAAATTATTATTATTTGTTTGATATTATTATTATTATTATCATTATTATTATTTTTATTATTATTATTGTTGTTGTTGTTGTATTATAGTCGGTTTTGTTGTTCTTATGTGAGCACTTGAGAATATTTTATTTGGCATTTTGCATATTTTATTTATAAGTTATATACATTCATA